CACAATATTTGGAATTCCTTTCTGGTTCTGCTATTGGTCAGTCACATGGACTGGATGTTTTCACTTGAAATTCCAGAGATATATATCAAATAGTTGATATTATTAGGATTTACAGAAAAGCAAAAATCAATTCAAAAATAAAATAAGTAGAAGTGATAAATGTATACACTAAGAGGAAATTAAGACAAGACAAGAAAAAGCAATGAATAGCCTAGTTGGTTCATTGACTGGTCTTCTTGACTGGTCCAAGAACTTCAAATTCAAACAAGAGTGGAACAATTTTTGATTATCCACTGATCAAAGAGTTTTGAAGCTGTTAGTACCCAAAGTCAGTGAGGCCACTACTTTTGCTTCTGGAGGTAGTGTAAATTTGCACAACTGGCTTCTGAATTGGAAGTTTAGTGCTTTGACACATTGGTCTGGAAAAGGTGGTCTTGTATCCCTGCAAAAGTAATGTATCTTATGGGGCTATGTGGTGTGCTTCCAGAGATTTAAGTATAAAGATATTTCAAATTGGAATACTTATCATTTCAATAGATTTAGAAAGGCCCTTTCCCATATGTGTGCCTTGCATTTCTCCTTTATTTTCCTCTCTTTTTCTCTCCTTCCCCCTCCCTCCTCTTGTTCTTATCTCATATTTTGGCTATGATCTTGAGAACAATGTTGAACATAAGAACACCAGCTGAGTAAAAACATTTTTGAACCTTTTCTCTAATAACATCTTAGACACCATCTTAGAATAGACGGAAACTTAACTTATTTTAATAAAGTTTCTTTTAGAAACTCACAGCAAACATATTTAATGGAAAAATATCCTTAAGTGGGAGTCCTAGGTTAGGAGTCATGATCTTTTCATTTTTCCAAAACTTGTTTATTGTGTGTTTTGTTTTTCATTGTTCAGAGTTGCTAAAGAACATTTGTTCTTGGTGTTATACTAGTCTCTTAAAATAACTTCGAGGCTTTATCATTTTTAGATGTTCTTGGAAGATGAACAAGATAGGAAATATTAGTTTTTTGTTGAATTCATATTTTGTGAAATTACAAGAAAAAAATCTCAAAAAGGTTGGAGCTCTGAACATAAATACCTCAAACAAAGTACTGCACCTTGCTGAGCTGAGTACTTAGAACTGAAGGAGGTTGAAAGGGCCTCAGAAGCAAGGTGTTCCCTCTGACCCTTCTCAGCACCACACCCCTCTCATACCTGGGTGGGTCACAGAAACTAGAATTTCATCTCCCAAAGCAAGCCATAAAACCTGGAAGGCTCACTCTGGGGCCTTTATAGGTTTCCCTGTAAACCTTCACATGATAGGTGCTCTACCCTACCCTCGGGGGAAGCAATGCTAGTGAAAGACCCAGAAGCCCCTGAACACAAGCTTTGCTGAGCCCCTCCCAGTTTATTATGACCAAAACACACCCTTTTTGTTCAATCACATTTCTCCACAACTACCCACTTCTTTCATCAGACTTAGCATAAAAGCAGTTTTCCCTAAGTCCTTGGGCCTTCATTTCTAAAGGCCCTCCTGCCATGTATAACTTTGTTAAATAATTTTTTTAATGCTGCTCTCTTGCTGACTGCCTTTTGTTACAGGAATGTCAGCCACAACCTTTCTGATGGATGAGGAAAGGTATTACCGTGTCCACCGCTAGGTGTTCCTGAGTTGGTGTCTTTGCACAGTACAAACCTGAATGACCACCAGGCTCTGTCTTGCCTGTAAATCCATGAGGCTCATTTTCTCACGCAGCTTAGATGTCACTTCATCAGCCTTTCCTTCCCAGAACATCTTGGGTGAGATAATGCCCTCAACCTCCAAGTAGGACTTGGAGCACTACTTGATTACAGAGCATACATCAAGTTGTTTCTAACTCTGGTTTATCTGCCTCCTCATACCACATATAAATTCAAGCACCTGATAATTTTGCTCTTTAGTTCATTGAGAGAACTAAACTTTCCAAACTTGTCAGAAAAAAGTGTCTTGAACACAGCAAATGAATGATATTTGCTAAATGGTTGATCTTAGCATGTAAGAAGCAACTGGAGTAGCAAAAGTGATGAGAATGGGAATTAGGTGATCCGGCGGTCTGTGATCCCGTCCCATCCTAACTGATTGAGTATGCCTGACTGGGTCTCACCCTCCGTGTCCAGAACTTTCTTTTACTAAGTTCTCTAGTGGATCTCATGCCTGTGGTCAAGGGACCACACTTTGATAATCTCTGATTTAGAAGAACTCTTGGGGTTAAAGAAGTAAATTTTTGCATCAACCAAAGCTATATTTTTAAATAAATGTATTCCATAAATTTTCTATTAACCTAATTTATCTTCTGTCTCCTTACTTCTCCTTATGAATCAGCCATGATTTTTCTAAGGTTGTAATTCCTTAGAGTTACTTTCTCCTGGATAATGAATCAAAACAAATATTATACCTATAATTAGGACACTAAGTGAACTCTTATGTATAAGAGAAGTGATTCTATGTGCAAAGCTGTTTTTATTAAGGTGTAAACTTTTTATTTTTAATAAATATTAGAAATAGTGTGCTAAAATGCATGTAACATTGACTATCTTAACCATTTTCAATGTACAGTTCAGTTAAATACATTCACATTGTTGTACGATCAATTTACAGAATTTTCCTACCTTGCATAACGGAAACCCTATGCCCATTAAACTGGGACTCCTCACTTCTACTTTCTGTTTCTATGAACTTGACTACTCTAGATACCTCATATAAGTAGAACTGTACAGTATGTCTTTTTGTGACTATTATTTTACCTGGTACAGTGTCCTCAGGGTTCATTCATGTATGTGTCATAGATTTTCTTTTTAAGGCTGAGTAACATTCCATTGCACCACATTTGTTTATCTTTTCATCCACTGAGGGACATTTGGGCTAATGCCACCTTTTTTGTATTGTGAATACTGCTGGTTAGTAAACATGGGTGTGCAAATATCTTTTAGGGACCCTCATTTCAATTCTTTTGGATATATTCCCTGAAGTGGGATTGCTGAATCATATGCTAATTCAATTTTTTAAATTTTTTAGCAACTGCCATACTTTTCTCCATTAGTGACAACCCCATTTTACGTTCCCACCAACAGTGAAAAGGGTCCAATTATCCTATATCCTAGCCAACATTTTCTATTTTTTGTACTTTTTATGGTAGTCATGGAAATTATTGTGAGTTGATATCACACTGTGGTTTGGGTTTATATTACCTTAGTGATGAGTGATATACAATGCCATTTTATCTTTTTATTTCTTTTTATTTCTTTTTTTTATTGTTTGGGCTTCATTGAGGGTGCAAAGATTAGTTTATACTGATTGCATTTGTTAGATAAAGTACTTGTGTGTACAATCCATTTTAAAACTGGGTTTTGATTCAGTACCAGAGCCATGTGGGCCAGAGAGCACATCAGGGCAGGCCACACTCACTCCAACCTGACTGGTCTCAAGGGGGTCCTGGCTGTTTCTGAGAACTTTCATGTCATGGGATACACATATTGCCAGTCCTTCTCTCCTCCCTCCTGAAAGATTCCTTTTCTAGTTTAATTTTCTCACAATTCACCTAGTTTTTATCACTTAATATTCAAATCGAAAATTTTTTAATTCCCCTATAGTAACCTATAGTAACCTTCTCTTATGACCTAAGATCACTTTACTTATAGCCCCACTGTATTTGCCCTTTTATAGCTGTTGTTTGTTTCCATGTTTCTCTCAATTGATATTAAAGCAACTAACTTTAGGTTGGATACAGGACTTTCGTCTCTTTCATCCTTCCAGAACAGGGTGGTGAGTGTACAGTCAGAGAGGAACATTATTTAAGGGCAGCCTGTACTCATGTGTTACATAATATGTAGTAAGAGAGTCATATGACCCAATTTTATCCTAAAATAATATTAGTTGACCTTGGATTTTGAGGACTATATTCAAAGTTGTACCTACCTTAGTTCATCTGAAGAAAAATTGAATCACATTGCTATAAAGCTCCTTAAACTCATTTGGTGGACTAATTTCACCCAACCTTGTAACATTTTTCACTGAGGTAAAATGGAATACAGCTCAAAATGACAACTTGTTTTATATTTTTATATCTGTGCTGTTGCCTATGTTAAGAAAAGGACTTTGCCCAAACAAAGAACTGAGTCAGCTTACTGTATTATTTTTGAAAATGCAAGTATTTCTTAGGTATTAATTGTTTCTTTTCATGGTACTTCTTATACACACCATCTTTACTCACAGCATACAAAGATAGCTATTTACATAACAACCCTCCTAATACATCCAGGTCATAAAATAATATTCCCTCTACAATAGCCATCATGCTATCCTAAGCTAGGTGCCACAATATAAGATAAGATTGTGTTAGAAAAGAATCCCGGCTCGGCGCCTATAGCTCAACCAGCTAAGGCGCCAGCCACATACACCTAAGGTGGCGGGTTCGAATCCCCAGCCCGGACCCGCCAAACAATGATGGCTGCAACCAAAAAATAGCCGGGCGTTGTGGCGGGCGCCTGTGGTCCCAGCTACTTGGGAGGCGGAGGCAAGAGACTCGCTTGAGCCCGGGAGTTGGAGGTTGCTGTGAGCTGTAATGCCACGGCTCTCTACCCAGGGGGACAGCTTGAGGCTCTGTCTCAAAAAAAAAAAAAAAAAAAAAAAAAAGAAAAGAATCCCTTCGTGTCCCAAGTGCTTAGAGAATAAGTAAATGCATCTGCCTATAATTTTCAATCAGTCACTCTATTGTTAGGAGAAGTACTTGACAGGATAAGCACCATGGAAGTATTCTATTCAGGGAGGAGAGAAAACATAAAGGATCTGAGGCTAAGGTAGGATGACAGGTTGATTAGTAGCATCAAGGACCTACTATTTTTCAGACACAATTGTAATGGCTCTATTATATAATGGAACAATGATTTTTCAAAGATTTATGATACATGCAGTAGCAAAAATAAATAAATTAATAAATTAATCTAAGAAAAAAAAAAAGCCCTTCCATTATCTCACTTGAAGGCAGATCCCGCATTTTGGGAATATGAAAACATTCTCTGAAGCACCGCAGCTTATCTTCCTCATCGAGGCGGACAGCAACCCGCTCATCTGTTGGGTGACATTTGAGTTCGGCCGCTATGCGCCGCACAGTGTCAGCTGGCAGCTCAAGAGCTGAAGGCTGCATTACAAGTGATTCTCTAAAAAGGAAAGAAAAGGATCAATATTCCTTTAGGTAATACGTCTCTTATTTTAACTAAGATTCCCATTTTCCCAACCTTAGAAATACTGTAATTAATCAATAAGCATTAAATGCCATGTCTGAGTTTTTCTCATACATAAAATGAAGGAAATAGTAACTCGAGGATATGGGAAGGACTAAATTAGGTGATGATGCTCAGACAGAGTGAGGTCTCAACAAAGGTTATCGCTTTCTACTCTTATTCTCAAAAAAGCCTGCCGTATCCACGGCTTCCAAACATACATAACTTCCACATTTTCCTCTGGAATCTAACTGGGAGGTACTAGTGAAGAAAACCTTCCCGATGGTGTGGGAAAACACTGTCCTAGCGGGCTTGTCATTTTCACTAACCCACCCCCATTCATTCTTGGATCACAGCTGTAAAACTATGGACATAGTGAACCTGAACAAACTTCTTTATTGCAAATGAAAATGATATTGATGAAAAAGTTAACTTTAAATAATAAGTATTTTTGCCATATGAATGCCAGAGAGATTCATCCACCTGCTGCTGGTAATGGTGAGAAAATTTTTCTTTTCCAAGACCATATGTACCATGTTAGAACAAACAGGACCCTGTGGTGTTTCTTGAAATCACATTGTACTCTGTTTAATCATCGTTTAATATCTCCCACCTTTTTGGAAAGCAAACTTAATCTCTCTGAAGGGGATAAGTGGCAATGAAAATTTAATTACATATTTTTAAATCTCACTTAAGTTTATTTGTTTGTATTTCCTCTAAGTTTTAGTGTTTTGAAATTGAGCAGGAATGAAAGAAGAGGGATTAAAATTTCCATAGGCTAGCTTTATTTGCCCGGCGGACTTCCTTTATGTGTTCTTCCCTTTACTTACTCTTTCAGCAAGGTTTTATCAGGTACCTATCAGGTGGCTCTGGCAGGAAGCAGTGTATAGGACAGTATATATGTGCCAACTCTTGCACAGTTTATTATAATTATTTTTTTAATTGAGACAGAGTCTCACCTTGTCGCCCTCTGTAGAGTGTTGTGATGTCACAGCTCACAGCAACCTCAAACTCTTGGGCTCAAGTGATTCTTTTGTCTCAGCCTCCCAGGTAGCTGTGACTACAGGCACCCATCACAATGTCTGGCTATTTGTTGTTGTTTGTTTAGCAGACCTGTGCTGGGTTCAAACCCACCAGCCCCTGTGCATGTGGCCGGTGCCCTAACCACTGAGGTATGGGCACTGAGCTTGCAGTTTATTTTTTAGTGTAATATGGAAAAATAAATAATGTAAATTCAAATATTTTCATGAGCTATGAGAACACAGAGCAGAGTAATGGGACAGAGTCACTGGGGGTATGGAGCCACCTCAGGGTAATCAAGGGCATCTCTGAGCATGATATGCATTAGCATTTCTAAATCATTTGTGGAGTGAGCCATGTGATGATTTGAACCCAGAGGGACATGACAGCAAGTGCAAAGGTCCTGGGAAGAAGACAGACTTGGCTTGTTCAACTAATGCACTGAGGGGAGGGAGGGAGGGAGAAATGATAGACTGTGATGTGAAAAAAGCAGCGGCAGAAGTTAAATCATGAAGAACTGTGAGGACAGGAAGGGAGTTTGAATAGTTTGCTAAGTTTAATGAGAAACCATTGGAGATTACTGAATAGGAAAGGAATATGTTACAATTTTACATTAAATAAAAATCGCTTTGCTCTGTGATGAGTTATAGGAGTCTAAAAAGAGAAAAATAAAGGCAATTACTGTACTTTGGGAGAGAAAGGAAGGTGGACTAAAAGTAGTGAGAATAATGTAGATTTATGATATATTTAGGAGGAAGTGTAAATAGAGAAAACCTATCTGGCTGATTGTCTCTGATGAGGACAGAAGAGGGGGTTAGTTTCATTTTTGAGATATGAAAAAATATGTGAAAATATCTAAGGAAGAAAAATTTTGAGGAAGGAAATCAGAATTCTTTTGAGGACATATTAAGTTTCAGGTAAGTATTGAGTATCAAGGTAGAAATGTCAAACTGGTTGTTGGCTCTTTGTGTGTCTATCTTAGGGGACTATTGGATCATATGATATGGTTAATAGATTGTACATGAAGCCCAGGACCCCTGGGAACCAAAACTAACACAGGAATGAAGCCCTAAAATTCAATCTCAATTCAATTATCTTTCATCTATCCCCCCCTCTCCTTTTTCCTAACCAATACAACATAATGTTGGACAATAAAGAGTTGCATGTCTGGGTGTTAGATTATGTCAGTAACACAACTTTCTTCCTGTACTCCAAATTTACATTCTACTTACTTGGCTTATTCCTTTCTCAATTTCCAATTGTCTCTGCTACTGAGTCCTCCTTTACATTACTGGAGAAGAGTACTGAGCTTTATTACTGTGTGTTTTTTAGTTTGATACCAGCGGTGGCTCCCGATTTATCTAATCCCTGCTGGTGTACAAAGGTCAATGATGTCAATATTGGTGTAGGGGATGATTTCAAAATTCCACCATCCTTATTGTCATCTTGCTTATAAAATTTTATATTTTTTCTGATTTTCATCATTCTATTCCTTTTACCTAAGATGTTTTGCTTCTCCTTCAACTTGTTCAGATCCTGGCTACCCTTAAAAGCCCTAGCTCAAATGTTACTTTTTTAAATGAAGACTATTTTGTTATCTCAGCTAAAAGGAGTCTTTCTTCCTCCCAACTTCTGTAACACTATGAGCACATTTGTGGGTGTTACTTAGGGTAAGTAATACATTCTTCCTATTTATTTAGGCACATGTGTAATTGGAGAAGATCAAACATGCTTGCTATGCCTACAACTTCATTCTGAAGGGCTCCTGCTTATGGCTTTCTGATAAAGGAAACTGTCTTTTGAATAGAGATGACTGTTTTTCTACCACTCAACATTATCTATTGTGGTTATAGTTGATTGAATCTCTGCTGGGCACTTGTCCGCTAATGACAGTCTACTATTTTGTCAAATATCCGTGAATGACTTGCTGCAGAAGCTCTAACCAAACAGTGATGATGGTGTTTAGCTGAGCATATAATCAAATTCTTTCAGAAATCTGCGCTGTGAGATATATTTATTCATTCAGTTAGACACAGGAGCAAGAGTTTAAAAGAATCATAGAAGCTAGGAAACACTAGGATCTATGAGGAATTCTGTCAGGAGTGACTCATTTTTCAGAGTCAAACAGAACCATGTTTATTAAAGCATGAAAAGCAGAGGTGAGTCCAGCAGCCAGTAAGAGTTACTTAGTTCCACAGTGTTGGGGAGCTAAACAGCTGTGTGTCCCAGAAAGGTTTTGGATGTTCCCAAAATTCCATGAGATGTTTTTCTGTCTGTATCAAGTGTGTCTTTACTACACATGTACTAATTATGATAGCCTGACTGAGTTGTCTGGCTACCCTACTGACCCATATCTACCTGGGTCAGCCTAAATCATGTTTAATTTATCTTTACAGTCACCCTGTCTGTCAGCAGCATCTTTTAGATAGAACTTCCCCAAAATGGCAGTTGACCAAGAGAACAAGCATAATAGCTTGATGAGTTATTAGAAAAAATTAATGACATATGATCCTCTTGCATTCAGAGAAATATTTCTAGCTAAATTCAGAATAAAGAGGGCTTGCTTTATGCTGTGTCATTCTTTGGCAGTGGACCACTTTGAGGATTTATTGGAGATGAGTTTAAATTCTAAGTGGGGTTACAACAATAAATATACAAATTAGTTTGCTACCATCATATTCTGAGGAAAATTCAACTTTCCCTAATTTAAAAAAGGTATTCATTATTCTCTTTATTTCAGAATTGTATTTAATCCTTGTAACAATCCTGAGACATCAAAATTATTTTTCTCCATTTTGAAACCAAAGCCTGGAATAGACTTTGAGTAGAAACAAAAATGAGATGGAAAGATAATAGAATGTACTGTTTGGTGTTGAACTGTGCAAAGTACTTGTCTTTGGAAAAACGGCCGGTGGACAGAATAATTCTACAAAACAGAATTCCTGCTCAGAGATTTCAATTTTTTGCTTTATTATTCCTTGCATCTAACTTCCTAATTTTTAAAATTTATGTTTTTTTAGCTCATCCCTCTTTTCTTTATCTTCTTTTTATACTCTTCCCTTCAATCTGCAAAGGACCACAGGCTATGCATAATACATTTAAACTTTTTGATCCATCCTTCTCAAACCAGTCCCAGATAGGAAGGAGTTAAAATGGCTGGTTTGGCTTCTGGGCCCGGCAGTCCTGCCTGTGGTGAGATACTTGATGGGAGTGGTCTTTTGGAGTAAGTGCACCCCACTCCACCCTACTATCATGCATAGCCTCCAAGAGACCTGAATATAGTCTTTATAACACGGTGCCCTCATGCCAATAACTTGTTAATTCACACAAGTTGGTGCTCAATTCTCCATTCACCACATCAGCTAAGATAATTAGCGTTCATAAGCCATAATTTTATGCCATGTTAGGCTTACCATGTGCAAATAAATTGATGTGCTCAAATTTTGAAATGAACAAATCAGGTTCAAGTTTAAAAAAACTTTAAATTTTATATTTTTCATAGTGTTAGCTTTATTTAGAAGGTGGACAGACGTATTACATGGTCTCAGCACGTCCCCTGACCTCTCTATGCATCAGTGTCATAGAAAATAAAGTTAAATTTTACTTTGTTCAAAGGATCATGGTTAGACTTACACGACATTAATGAAGTCCTTGGTAAAGAGATAAAATATATTACATAATATTTTTTAAGAGCAATGGAAATTGTCACAATGCCCTCAATTTAGCTTTTGCAATTTTGCAAATTGTGTTTTCACAACTTTATTAACACAGCTATAACTTTAAAGCTAAAACATGCATAATAATTAAAAACTGATTATCTTGATAGAAATTATAGAATTTGGGATCTCCTAGTGCTCCACTGGTATAAAATTAAATAGTTTAATAAATAAATGTGAGCCCAAGGGTTAATTTTTACA